GGGGCGGAGGCGCTGCGACGGAGGCGGCGGGGAGCGCCCGGCACGGTGCGCAGCATCCTTAGCGGGGCACCGAGGCGCCGCTTCTGCCTCTGGGGGATGCGGGGTTGGGCTAGGGGGCCACCGCCGCCTCAGGCCCCGTGATGTCAGCGGCAGCTCTCGCGCCGGGAGGCGGGGGGCGGGGCTTTCCGCGGCCTTAGCCAATTGGGGGGGCGGGGCGGGAGCGCCCGCGGGCCGGCCGGCCAATGGAAAGCGAGCTGCGGTGGGAGCCAGGGGGCTCGTGCTTAGCTCAGAGGCTGCGGACTCGACACGCTGCGCGGATGCTACCTCGGGGCTAGCGGCGAAGACAGGCAGGGTCCAGGTGGTCCTGAGCCGCCCCGGGAACGCTGTGTCGGGCAGAGGGAACCCGGAGCACCGTACTGGGTCCGCCTCCCCGCCTCCTCGGAGGCCTGCCACGGGCTGGTGTGTCTTTGTCCCCGGATCCCAAAGGGAGCCGCCCCGCCCGCGCATCGGGGTCCCCACCCCCTCAGCATCAGCATCTATCCCCAGGGCATCCCCAGCCCTCGACCTCGGGTGCTCCGGATACCCCACGTCCCAGTGCTACATAGTCAGTGCAGGGATGACCATCCCTCTCTTCCAAATCATTTCAAGTTTTTCCAAATTCTATACAAGCTGTTTGTGCCCCCGCCCCCTTGGACAACTCCAGGAGCCTTTAGGGTTCAGGGTTGCAGAATATCAACTCAAGATATTCACGTTCTGCGTAACTGTAGCCTGGAGACTTTGGAAAGGCCCACGTGTGGCCTGCGGGTGGAGAGTCATCAGAAAAAAAAAAAAAAAAAAAAAAAAAAAAAAGGTAGGACAGACCTGGGGCTCCCCAGATAAAAATACACACAAAACAGTGGGAAGCTTGGGCAGGCAGAAGACGTCATTGCTGAGTTAATTACAGGCATTTGTGTTTTCAACCTTTTATTTTATTTGTGGGTTTGGTGAGGTTTTGGTGTTTTGCTTTGTTTTCTCCGTGGGGAGACTGATCAGCAAAAATTTCAACTGCTACATGACTTCAACTTTCAGCATCTAGAGAACCATTTCCGGTGACTGCTTCCCTGGATTAGGTTAGTAAGGCTATTTTGTAGATTTAGCTGTCTGCTGGAGTTTGGGGATGTGGTGTGGTCTGAGTTTTATGGATTTTAAAATTACATTTATTTTATTGATTTGTTTGTGGGATGTGCTGGTGTGCCACCACATGCTTGTAGAGGTCAAAGGACAGTGGTTCTCCCCTTTAACCATGTGAGATACAGGGACGGAACTCAGGTCGTTAGGCTTAGTAGCAAGTGCCTTTACCAGCTACACCATCTCTCTGGCCCTTGCATGTGGTGTGTGTCTGTCTGTCTGTGTGAGTGTGACAGGATCTCACTATGTAGCCCTAGCTGAACTGGGACTCCTATGTAAACAAGGCTGGCCTTGAACTCACAGAGATCTGCCTGTCTCTGCCTCCCAAGTGCTGGATTTAAAGGCATGCACCAGCAAGCCCAGCCTAATTTTTTATGAGTGTGTGCCTGCATGAACTTATGTGTACCACTGTGTGCAGAGACCAGAAGAGATCATGGGATCCCTGAAACTGGAACTACAGGCAGTTGTGAGCTGCCATGTGGTTGTCGGGAACTGACCCTGGGTCCTCTGGAAGAGCAACCATCTTGCCACACACCCCCCCCTCTTTTTTTTTGAGACAAGATCTCATGTAGCCCTGGGCTGGAACTCTCTTTGTAGCAGAGACTGGCCCTGATTCTGTTGCCTCCACCTCCCAAGTATATTTTGCATTTTATTCACCCTCTTTTTGGTAGTAACCAACTGACCTTAGCTGAAGCTGCTTAGCACAATTACCTGGGTCCCCAGAGGGGCAAGAACCTATTCTTACCACTCGTATTACCTGATACAGAGGGACGACTGAGCTCCAAGGCACTCCCTGCTCCTGACAGACTTGTCCAGGCCCCAGGGCTCCCTAACAGAGCTCAGACCTCCCTGCAGCCCCTGGTCCATATTCCTTTCTCTATACATACAGATCCTTCCTTGTAATTGCTAGGTGATAGTAAAATACAAGTCATGAAGAATCTAGAACCAAACTGGGTGTGGTAGTGCATACCTGTAAATCCCAGCACTTGGTAGGTAGGGAAAGGAAGATCAGGAATTCAATACTATATAGTGAGCTCAAGGCCAGTGTGAAATACATGAAATCCTGCCTCAAACAAAACAACCTAGACAGACACAAACAAAAAACGCTACCTCAGTTTTTCTTAAATCTCACGTGTAACTCTGACTGGCCTGGAACTCCCTATGTAGACCAGGCTGGCCTTGAACTCACAGAGATCCACTTGCCTTCTCCCCTCAGTGCTGGGACTAAAGGCGTGTACCACCATGCCCAGATTCAGTTTTTCTTTTTCTTTTTTTTTTTGGTCTTTTTGAGACAGGGTCTCCCTGTAGCCCCAGCTGTCCTGGAACTCACTATGTAGACCAGGATGGCCTTGAACTCAGATCCGCCTGCCTCTACCTCCCAAGTGCTGGGATTAAAGGCATGTGCCACCACGCCCAGCTAGTTTTTCTTTTTGAGATGGTGTCCTAGTTTCTTCATTGCTGCAACAAAATACTCTGATCAATACCAACTTGGGGAGGAAAGGGTTTATTTGTCTTACATCTCCCAGGTCACAGTTCATCTGGGAGCCCAAGGTAGGAACTCAGGGCAGGAACCTGGAGGCAGGAGCTGGAGCACAGGCCATGGAGGAATGCTGCTTGCTGGCTTGTTCCCTGGCCCCTGCTCAGCCTGCTTTCTTATGCAACACAGGCCCACCTGCCCAGGGATGGCACCACCCACAGTGGGATGGGCCCTCCCACGTTACTCAGCAATCAAGAAGGTGCCCCATGGACATGGCCACAGGCCAGTCCAACGAAGGCAATTCCCCAATTGAGGCTCCCTCAACCTAGGTGTGCCTATCCAGCCACAGATGAGATCTCACCATGCTGCCCAGGCAAGTCTGCAATGCCTGAACCTAAATTCTCCTACTTGACTTCTTCAACCTCCTGAGTAGCTGGGACTGCAGGTGGGTGCCACCATGCCTTAAAACCATCTTGGAACAGCAGTGGGGCTTCAGTGTTTGACAGAGTAAAACATTGCCTTGGGTTCTGTTCAGAAGGCTCTGTTCCTCCTGCCCTCAGTTGTAGCCAGCTTCTAGTAACACATGAAGGGATCTTCCCTCCCCTTTATCCTTTTGTCTGCCTTTGAGCGTTTCCCTTTAGCCAGGACCAGGCTAGCAGCTGACTCCTGGTTCTTGCCAGTCCCTCTGTCTGTTCTAGTCCCACCTCTGCCTGCTTGGAACCTGAGAAAGGGATTTATTCCCATCTTCTTGACAATCCCCAACCCTAGGAGTTGAGTTCTCTCATTAAGAAGACATACTCCAGCATTTGGAAGAGTAGAGAGAAACAAGGCATAGACAGTACCATTAGGGAAAGATCACTGGAGATTGTGCCAGGCCTGTTTTTTGTTTGCTTGTTTAGAAACAAAAGCAAATTTATTTAGATGGAAGTTTTGGTACCCACATGGGATGGTGTAGGCTCTTGTGAGGCCCCATGTGGCTGCACAGCATCATGATGGGAACATGTGTGTGTAACCTCTCCACACCAACCCAGCAACCATATGAAGTACATGTTATTAGGACTCCTGTTTTCAGGGGGACTAGAGTCATGGCTCAGTGGTTGAGAACTGAGGCTGCTCTCATCAAGGACCTGGGTTCAGTTCCCAACACCCATGTGACAGCTAACAACCATCCATAACTCCGGTTCCAAGACAACCGACGCCCTCTTCTGACCTCTGCAGGCATTGCAGACACATGGTGCACTTACACATATGTAGGCAAAACACTCATATATATAAAAGAAACAAAAAACAAGGTTTTCATTTTAGGGTCAGGAATTGTTGGCACGTGCCTTTAATCCTAGCACTCAGGAGACAGAGACAATAAGATCTCTGTGAATTCAAGGTCTGGTCTAGAGAGTTCCAGGTCAACTAGGACTACACACTGAGACCCTTTCTCCAAAACCAACCAAACAAAAAGACTCCTACTTTACAGTTGAAGAAACCGAGGCATAGAAAGAGCACTGGAGTTTGAGTTAGACAAATCAAGATCCTTCCAAGCAGCTGCTTAGCAATAAGCCCTTTGAATCTTTTTCTTGTCTGAAAATAGGCCAGCCTATGGTGGTGCATGCCTGTAATCTCAGCATTTGGGAGACCGAGGCAGGAGGATCATCTTTGAAGGTCAAGGACTCATCTAGCCCAGGCTGGCCTCAAACTCATTTTGTAGTCCAGGATGACCTTGAACTTCTGATTGTCCTGCTTCTACTTCCCAAGTGCTGTGACTATAGACATGCACAACCATTCCCAGTTTATTGGGTTCTGGGAATGCTAGGGATTGGATCCAGTGCTTTGTGCATGTTTGACACCCAACTCTGCCAACTGAGTTATATCTCCAGTTCAAAAGAATTCATTTCTTTTTTCTTTCTTTTTTGTCTTTTTGAGATGGGACAGGGTCTCCCTGTAGCACGAGCTGGCCCTGAACTCCCTGTGTAGACCAGGCCAGCTAGTCTCAAATGCAGAGATCCACTTGCCTCTGCCTCCCGAGTGCTGAGATTAAAGATGTGTGCCACCACGCCCAGCTAGTCATCACTTCTTTTAGAAATGAATCTTTTTAAGCCTGGAGTGGTGGTACACACCTTTAATCCCAGCACTCAGAAGGCAGAGTCAGGTGGATCTCTGTGGGTT